TGATTCCCCTGCTCAGGTTCGAGAGAAGAAACCGTAGCTAAAGCAAACACAGTCGCCACACAGCGCTTGGCCACAGACACTGCCTTCTCCCTCTCCGCCTCTGACTCACGAACGCTACCCCGGCTCCGCCAACGCTGCCATCCCTATGTACTCCCGCCGTTACTGACGGAGCATACAATTATACCACAGGAAAGGTTAAGGGGTCTCAAACTCGAAGTGAGAGAGAAATCGAACCCCTTAAGCTCTACGCTTATTCAGATATTAATCTTGAGGTGTAATATCCAGTAATGTCTGATTCTTAAAGAGCCCATATCCTGTATTTTGAGAGGTGTTATGTACCAAAACAGTCCTACTTTACTTTTGCATGACCATTATACAACCTCTCTTTATCCCTTGGAATCAAATAGGCTGTTTTTGTTACTGTGCCTTTAAGACTGATGTAAGAAAATGAGGTCTGTTCTGATTGGCCACTCTGTATAGTGAAGAAGTCCAGGCTGAAACACTCCTTATAACTTCAGCCTGAATGGGCGGAGCTAAACTGCTGTCAGCTGAACAGCTGGGCAGTCACTGGCTGGAGGTTAGGGAACCAGCCCTGTGACCGGAAAGTCGCCAATTTGATCCCCTGTGCCAACAGTATGTGACTGAAGTGCCCATGAGCAAGGCATCTAACCCCCCAACTGCGCGGGCGCCCTGGATAGGGCTGCCCACCGCTCTGGGCAAGTGTGCTTACTGCCCCCTAGTGTGTGTGCATTCACAAGCGTGTATGTGGTGTTTCACTGCGCGAATGGGTTAAATGTGGAGGTGAAATTTCCCCATTGTGGAAAATGAAAATTAATATATTTTGAAATTTCTACAGTGTTGAAATACTAGATCACACTTTTATTTAAAAAAGTGAGGAAAATTCTGTTTCAATAATACGGACCTTTTAATGTTTCATTTAAGTATGAAACAAATATAATTATGAGTTTTGTAGTTATGAGAGTGTGGAATTTTTGAGCAGGCAAGCATAGAATAGAAACATACTTCATATATTTATTTATTTCGGAAAATATTTATTGTTACTCTGATTAGCCTTTTAAACTTTGACATGTTTTTACACCCAAAGACTTATTATTCAGTAATTACATGGAAGGCAACGCAAACTAGACAAGTTATTCTTAAGTTATATGAGTAAGGCTAGATTGTCATAGTCAAACTTTTAATGCAAATAGTTGCATGTTGTGATTTGCCTGCATCATAATTTCCATGCAACTTAACAATTACACTTGAAGCAATTAAAAACAACTAAAGTTGCATGCAACCCAATTGATTAGCCAAATTAGCAGCTTATATGTTTGATACACTGTATTATTCTCACTGTAAAGTCATTAGCAATACGTAATTTACATATTTGAAGCATTTAAATCATGTTTGTAACATTTTTCTATATCTATATATCTGGCATTTATTAATCTATATATCATGGTTTATTTCTATATCGCTGTTGTGGAAAGAAAATCTTGTATCTCCAAAATGGTAACTTTACAGGAGAAGGAAAAAACCTACTTTACTTTTAATGTAAGTCAATGGAACCAGACTTTTTTCCAAGTCATTTTGGGTCGTTTCTTTTATTCCATTCATCGTAAAATCTACAAACAATGTAAAGGATGGAGATATGAGGTTTTCTTACAACAGCAGTGAAATATTTGTGTTTTATATCTGTTGTGTGTACGTTAAGCCTTTGAAATAAAATCGTTAAGTAGCCAATTCGGTTCACAGTCTGTGTCTCACTCTTCCTTTCTGTAATACTGTTCATTCTTTGGATCCCAAATGAATCGAAATTCTGTGTAAAATTAGGGGGCACAAGAGAGGAGAAAATGAATCTAGATGCGTAAATTACGATAAAAGCAGGTGATAAAAAGAGTTTAGCTTTGAAAAACTCACGTTTGGAAACTGACAAAATGAAAACCTGCCAACCTTGCAAAAAGTCTGTCTGGGGGTCTCCCTGCCAACCAGCCAATAAACTATCTTTTGTTTCGTTTTCTTGCCCACTGATCCGGTGAAATTGGTCATCTGAAATGATGTCGACTGCCATGATCATGTGGTGCTTTACCAGCATTTTGACTGGTTTCATGAGCCACTTGCAACAGTTGTTGCTGAGTTTCAAGTGAGTTGCAGGGCGTTTTACATTATGCAACTCAAGTGCAATTTATTTTCATACAAGTTTCAAGCAACTAAAGTTACATTAAAGTTTCATGTACAGCCAGCCTAAGGAATAGAAGTGTAGAACTACCAGTAAGTACTCAACAAATCAATAACCAGCGTTTCCATAGCGATGTGAATTGCTGAATGTGCACACGCTCACTCAGAAACTATCACAGTGTACCACAGTACAGATAAAGGGCAGCATGGAGCTTCTTTTACACAGTGATAGGAAACATGGCAGCACACGGAAAGCTCCAATCCCACATGCTGATACATTTTTCACACTCATGAATTACTCTGGGGGGAAGACCAGCAATATATTAGGTCAGAACTTAGAAAATGGACAAAACAGGCCATTTAACTGGGGGGGGTAAAACTTTTGCATTCAACTGTAAGACAGGGTTAAGGGGCTAAAGAAAGAGGAAGGGAAAAAAAAACAAGAAAGAGAGTGAGAGAGAAAGAGATGGAAACAGTGAGATGTAAGGAAAAAGAGTATTTTTATTTGACGTGTGATTGTGCAGTAACAGACATAAAAAAAGTCTTTCCATGATGAATCCTAAACTTTATTCGTCCACAGTCTGGAGCCACTTGCCGGAGTCTAAAGATCACTAATGCGCCGCTGCCTCTGGCCCTTTCTAGTACCTCTGCGTATACAAAATCTGCTCCAGATTTCAACCCAGCACCCCAAACTCACTCCATGTCTGCCCTTTCTGCTGGATTTGGGGGTTGGGGTGCGTATGTGCGCTGGGGTGGGGGGTGGGGGAGTGGATGGGAGGCGCTGGAGGTGCCGCTGGGTTCCGAGGGGCGCTGCATAAAGGCCCCTTTATTCGTGCCGGACAGGGAAAGGAAATCAGCTTCAGCAGAAAAAACACAGCAGGCCGAGCAGGGCCGCACATCTGGAGTTATTACAACCCTGCCCGCTCGCCAAAAAACTCCGACATTCCTCCACCGGCTACAAAGCCACGGAGCCTCCAGAGTCATCCACTCCGACTCCCACACATGCACACGGGCCGACACACACACACACACACAAACCCACACACACAGACATACGTACAACCCAACCACCTCCTCTCACACATGCACAGCTTTGGTTCTATATAATATCAGGACAAAGAGTTATGCATATGTGTGTGTGTGTATATATATATATATATATATATATATATATATATATATATAGTGCCTATATGTCACAATAGCATGTGCCACATAGATTATACAGTAGCATGCAAAAGTCTGAACCCCCCATTCAAAATAAATGCATTTGTCTGCAAATTTTTGTACATAATTTCTATTCATTTGCTGAGTTTAGTATATTCGAAAAAATAAAACACAAAATATATAAAATATGCCATAACTTTGGCACACATTTTGAGTTTTATTATGTTTCCAATATGTTCAATTCAGCAAATAAACAGTAACTGTGCAATAAAAAATCAACAAAACACATCATTTGGCCAGGGGATCCCAAACTTTTGCATACGACTGTATATGTTAGTAGCTCTCTGTATTAATAATTGGACATGTATTACAGATATGAAAGAGTCTGTACTGTATATAATAGTATTATGCCCCATATCTATTATAAGTAAGCGCTTATTACTACTAATAATAGCAATATCTATGTAAGAGACTGTGAGTAATAATAATAATAATAATAATAATAATAATAATAATATGTGCCATATCAGTGCTGTCAGGACAAAATCTTGTATGTCCATTTTTTATTGTTTGATCAGTTAAAAAACATCAGCTGCTCTTCACATTGTGCTAAAACTTCACGGTGAATGATCAAATTTAAATGGTCCTAATGTTTATTTTCTTTCCTCTGTAAACTTTGGACACTGAAGGTTCTGTCTAATAGGTATTATATGTTTGTAATGTATCTATATGTAATAATAACATGTCCTATATGTATATTATCGCTGCTGTTGGAAGAAAACGTTTGTCATTTTTCAGTTTTTGACATAATTTGAAAATACCTGTTGTCCTTTACATTGTGTGTAAATTTCATGAAGAATGGATCAAAAGAAACAACAAAAAATGACTTGGAAAAAATTCTGGTTCCATTGACTTACATTAAAAGTAAAGTAGGTTTTTTCCTTCTCCTGTAAAGTTGGGATTTTGGGGATAGGAGGTTTTGCTCTGACAGCAGCGATATACTATATATATATATATACTTATCTGTAATATCAGTGTGTCCCTTACATATTATATACATGTAAGTACTGAATGGGATTTGGGTTTTTTTGAGAAGCACAAAATGATCAACCAACTTCTAAGACTAAACTTTAGAGGTGTGTCTGCAGGTTACTGTGAAAAACTGAAAGTGAGGCTCCTGAAAACGACGGAAGATGGAATAAAGGTAAAGAGTGACACAGTAAATACGGAATTAACAGGTGATGTAAATAAATGGTGGTCTCTGGTTTTGCACAGTGCTGTAAATACCTGTACTAATATTATGTCCTGTATGTGTTATATATACCTAAATATCTCACTTTCTCCCTAAAAGTGTACCAGCCACCCCCCGTTTCCCTCTTCACCCCCCCCTTTACAATTACACAACACACGCTGCAAATTAATGTGCTTCACTTCCTGTTGACCTTTGACCCACCACTTCCTGCTGCTGCTGCCTCCCCAAAAAGCAGGAGGGGAGAAAAAAAAAAAAAACTGAGCCAGACAGAAGAGGGCAGGACGGAGAGAGAGAGGGGGGTTAGCCAAAAGTTAGCTCCTCCTCTTCTCTCTCTCTCCTCCGTCTCCTTCTCTCCTTCTGTCTCTCTCTCTCTCCTTCTCTCTCTCTCACTGGGAAAGTTAACAGCGCTCTGCCACGTCAAGCTTACGAGTCGCCGCCGTGCCACCCGGTAGGAAAGATGCGTCCACTGCGCCGGGACAGAGTCCGCCTGCGCGTTTTCGGGTGAAAAAGTCTCGGCGGACCTCAGCATCGGCCTCTCAGGGCCGGGGGTTCTTCTGGGGGCCGAAGAGAAGAGGAAAAAAAACAGCGCTGACCGTCACGGCCTGGCCGTCCGCTGTCCGGCTGCCCTGATATCACTCCGTCCCACAAGGAGAAGACGGGAGAAGCGTGAGGAGAAACATCTGTGCAGAGGCTTCAGGACGGATGAGGTAGAGTATCGCCTAAAGTGTCTGGGTCTTATCTGTCCAGTCTGTTAGGCTTGTGGTTTCTCAGAGCTTTAGGCAGAAGAAGCTGACTTTATTCGCTGATCTTTGGCCAGCAAAGCACTTTTCCAGTCCATTTCTACGCTGGTCTCCAGCCTTTTAGCACCTGGGGCACATTTCCAGGTGGTTGCTAACCATTAGTGTGTTTACAAAGATATAGAAAATGTGCTTTTTTGGCAGTTTTTTTGGCAACCAATTGAAAACGTTCTTATTATAATGGCCTTTTCTTCACTCTGCCCACTATGTGCTACACTATGTCTGTTAGGGTCAGCACAAGAAGCTGGCGGAAATCTTTGGCCCTTGACGAATTTTTCTAACCAGAAACATGCAGCATTCATGCAAAGCGAATAGACAACTTACTAATGGCCTTTTCTTTCTAGAGCCCTGTGAGGAGGCAGAGCGGGTAATGGATTTCACAGAGACGACCCTGTCTGATCTGGACCGTGGAGGATGAATCACCAGACTAAGTCAAAGCAGACAACTTCTGACTTCACTATCAGCTGTGATTTTGCTATTATAGGTGAATTCTGGGTCTAGAACTCAGGCAGAGCTTAGGTCTAGCTCTAGGTCATTCTGTTCTATGACAGAGCGCGTAGGAAGGGGTCAGTGAGGGCATCAGAGTCTTTAAGTTGAGCGTGCATCTGTTAAGAAAAAGGTGATGCTCTGAATTAACTTGATTCAAATGCAATGAATGCGAATCTAACTAATGATACAAATTACATCAAAGCCAAAAAGTAAACTATGTAAATGTGATGTATGTTATACTTTCCATGTGCAAGTAAATTCAGTGCATCGCTTCATCTTCTATGTGGTTTATGCAAATTTGTCCAGTCCATTATATCATTTTAGGTACTTTCAGTGGGGCGAGGCAGAATTTGGGGGATTTCTGTGTGAAACCTGAGACTTTACGGAATGTGTTCTTCTCCCCAGGAGGCAGGAAGCTGCGCAGAAGCTGCCAATCACAAGGCATCATTTCTCAGCAATCACTGCCAAACCCTCCCACGATCGGTCGGACGGGCCTGATGTCTCCACAGTAGCCGCAAATAGTGGACGTAAGTTGGGAGTAACAGTCAATTCTGTTCGCTTTGGAACAAACGGATAAGTATGTAAACGTGTGGATAAAATCTTTTCATTTGAGTGCATATATAATGTGTGCATATACCATTTTAGCTTAACCCCATAAACTCCAGGGGTTCAATTCTTCACTCTTAACTACATAATTTATGTATTAGTTTCATAGTATTTCATAGTGGATTCATAGTTCACAGTAGAACTAACAGTAGTAAGTGAGTAAATGAGAGTAGTAACTAAATATAGTAGTTACTGAAAAGTCATAATAGTTAGTGAATAATTATTAGCATTTATTTAAAAATTTATTGTAGTTACTGAATAAATCAGTAGTTAGTAAACATGCATAGTAGATACCTAATAATTCATAGTGGTTAGTGAAGAATATATAGTAGTTATTGAATAATTCATAGTAATTAGTGAATAATATGTAGTAGTTATATGATAATTCATAGTAGTTGGTGAACAATATATGTAAGTGTACATGAGTTATAAGTCTTAAGATGAATAACTGAATAACCAGCCTGGAGTTTAAGGGCTTAACAATGGTAATGTAGCAATATTTGACAGCACATGCAAGTTACATCAAAATAAAAGAATTCATATATATATATATATATATATATATATATATATATATATATATATATATTCTTTGATATATACTATTTGACTGAATTGTAATATATATATATATATATTACAATTCAGTCAAATAGTCAGAATACAGACTTTGTTACCTCAACACTGACCGTAATTTCAGGTAATGCGGATCTGTTTCAGTTTGTAAGTTCAACTATGCTGTTTAGTTGCCGTTTTGAGTGCATGTCCAGGAGAATGCATGAATGTGAATGGAGTGGTACTCCAGTGACGGGGTGGACAGTGGCCTGTCCCGCCTACCCAGTGTTCAGACTACCTGTTCAGGAAGTAGCGGTTGTACAGTAGTCTGCACATTGGTTAGGCTGGGTGGGCAAGCACAAGAGACGTCCCTCCTCACCACAGCAACCCCGGCACTGAGCCTGGCCGAGAGCTTGGGATGACGCCCCGCTGGACCTCTGCAGTCTCTGCTGTACAGGTGGACGTGAAGTGTTAAATGCAATTCTTCAATAAATAATCAAATAACCTGGCAGAAAAAACTGTGTCTCTTTTTGTTTTGTTTTTTTTGAACAATTATGATTATGCAATAAATGGTGCATTGAATGTAGACGATTCAGGCGGGTCAAGTGGTTGCATATGAATAGAAAACGTCACATATTGCACATTTTATACACGTGCAACAACTTGACGCTTCTGAATTACGTAATTTCAAAGCAGTTTAAGATGGTTAGGTATGATTTATGTAGAAACCATCTAATTTTACGAACGGCTTATATTTAACTGAGACCTAAGAGAGTGACCCAACCCCAGTCACCCAAAAGCAGCGATGGGCAACCTCAAAAACAGCCACACACATTTTTCTTCCTTCTGGTTTGAGCCTTGTAGGCCTACTAATACATCTGAAAACATAAAAACATGGACGTTTTAGACAGAAAGAGAGAGAGAGAGAGAGAGAGAGAGAGGGAGAGAGAGAGAGAGAGAGAGAGAGAGAGAGAAAGAGAGAGAGAGAGAGAGAGAGAGAGGGAATAAGAAGGAGAAGTGTTTTTCACAGTGGGTTGCCCACTTACTTCCTTTGAAACATTCAGAAAAATCAAAACCACAGACATATATGGTTCCACTTACGAGTCTGCACCGGATTACAAAATCCTCTCACACGCACATATGCACCAAAAACAGCCCCGCCACATTATTTTAAGCTCCAACACAGTTCTCCTAGACTTGGGTGCATGTGCCCAGGCTCTAGAGGGAGATCCAGTGTCTCGGACTAAGCCAATAAAAATGGCAACCAGCTATTAGACATGTGTCTTTGAGAAATCATTGCAGTCATAAGAAAATCTTTGGTTTTTTTGTTTTTACTTTTAATTTTTACAACATCTGAAAACGTTTTTAATATGAATGGACCAACAGAAGTGGTCCTCAATGACTTAGAATACAATCTTAACACATTCATGTACATTAAAGGTATGTTTTTTAAGGTATGAACCAGTTAAGTACATTCACTTCAAGTCCATACAGCCCAAAAGCTGCAAAAGCAGCCCGTTTTTGAATTCATTGTTACTGTAATGTCTTTAAAAACAATGCATTTCTATACAACCATATGCAAATGGTTTGAATGGTAGTTAAATGAATGTGCTGTTGATTTTCTAAGTGAAAATAAGTTAATTCATCCTCTGTATAGACTAAGCTTAACTCCTTAACCTACCACTTATTACTTATTATATACAAGGCTTATTAATCATTAACTACAGGGACTTCAATGCAAAGTAATGGAGCTTTTCTTAGGTTATAAAAGTGTGTAATAAAACTTTGGGCCCACCGGCGAGCCAACAGCTTGGTAAGGGGTTAAATTTGACATTTTCCTGCAGATTTTAGTGCACAATTTCTGTTTATTTTATTTATTTGTAGACTTGGAAAAATATCAAATAAAAAATATAAAACGTGCCATTACTTTCGCACAGGCCACATTTTATGTTTTATTTTTTGTCCAATATGTTAAGTTAGTTGCGCATTAAAATGCATATTGAGAAGTGTGTATAAGGACACACATGGAGGAACTCCAGTGGCCTGCGAAAAGCCCTGACCTCAACCACACTGAACACCTTTGGTTTGAACTGGAACATTGATTGTGAGCCAGGCCTCCTCGTCCAACATCAGTGTCTGACCTCACACATCATCTTTTGATTAAATGGGCACAAATTCCCACAGATGCTTGTGCAAAGCCTTCCCTAAAAAAGTGGAGGCTGTTAGAGCCTTAAAAAGAGGGGCCAACTCTACATTAATGCCCAAGTTCTTATAGGTGTGACGGTCATGTGTCCACATACTTTTGGCCATATAGTGTATTTAATGTATTTGTTCTCTGTAGATGACTCATTTTCTCTTAGGAAATCAACAAAATATGTAATGCGACCCAAACTTTTGCATATGCAGTTTAGCCCCGCCCATCCACGCTGAAGTTATAAGAGGTGTTTCAGCCTAGACTGCTTTTAGAACGAGGCAGCCAATCAAAACACAGCTCAGTAACAAAAACAGCCTGTTAAATTTTAAGGGAGGAAGAGTTGGAAAGTGGTCTTAAACCCACACAAATGTCAAAGGTTAATGTATAATTTACAGCAGTGAATAATTGTTAGCAGTTCTTGAAAAAAATATTGTAGTTATGGAATAATTCATAATAGTTAGAGAATAATTTCTAAACATTAGTGAATAATTTGTAATTGTTACTGAATAAATGCACAGTAGATACATAGTAAGTCATAGTGTTAGTGATAACAAATAGTAGTTACTGAATAATGCATAGTAGTTATTGAAAAATATGTAGTAGTTAGTGAATAATTCATAGTAATTAGTGAATAATGTGTAGTGGTTATTGAATAATTCATAGTAATTAGTGAATAATATGTAGTGGTTATTGAATAATTCATAGTAATTTGTGAATAATATGTAGTGGTTATTGAATAATTCATAGTAATTTGTGAATAATATGTAGTGGTTATTGAATAATTCATAGTAATTAGTGAATAATATGCAGTGGTTATTGAATAATTCATAGTAATTAGTGAATAATATGTAGTGGTTATTGAATAATTCATAGTAATTAGTGAATAATGCGTAGTAGTTGTTGAATAATTCATAGTAATTAGTGAATAATATATAGTGGTTATTGAATAATTCATAGTAATTATGAATAATATGTAGTGGTTATTGAATAATTCATAGTAATTAGTGAATAATATGTAGTGGTTATTGAATAATTCATAGTAATTAGTGAATAATATGCAGTGGTTATTGAATAATTCATAGTAATTAGTGAATAATATGTAGTGGTTATTGAATAATTCATAGTAATTAGTGAATAATGCGTAGTAGTTGTTGAATAATTCATAGTAATTAGTGAATAATATGTAGTGGTTACTGAATAATTCATAGTAATTAGTGAATAATGCGTAGTAGTTGTTGAATAATTCATAGTAATTAGTGAATAATATGCAGTGGTTATTGAATAATTCATAGTAATTAGTGAATAATGCGTAGTAGTTGTTGAATAATTCATAGTAATTAGTGAATAATATGCAGTGGTTATTGAATAATTCATAGTAATTAGTGAATAATATGCAGTGGTTGTTGAATAATTCATATTAATTAGTGAATAATATGTAGTGGTTATTGAATAATTCATAGTAATTAGTGAATAATATGTAGTGGTTATTGAATAATTCATAGTAATTAGTGAATAATGTTTTATGGTGAGTTGTAAGTCAAATGTCAAAAGGAGAAATAATGAGATGAAAGAAAAATGTAAAATTTGGGTCATTTAAGTTCCATTTCTAAGATAAAAAGCGACGATACTGTAACTACAAACTGTGTTCATGAACCCTTCAGAAACACACATGGCTCATATATACAGAATAATACAGTCTTTGCTGTAATTTCTCTGCATATTATGTCATTTTTGGGGTGGGAGGGGGGTAGGGGGGTTGGATATCAATGGAAAATGCATTTTTTCCACAATTTAGAGCCATTTGTGCCAAAAACTGAGTTAGAGTAATAAAAAACAGAGAGAGAGAGAGAGAGAGAGAGAGAGAGTGAGAGAGAGAGAGAGAGAGGGCGAGAGACATAGCAACAAACAGAGATGCTGGTCCTGGCTTGGGGCTTTGATTGTGCTGCTGGTGGTGGCTGCTTTACATCTGCTGATGAGGACACGCCAAACTCAATAAAAATGCCTTTTGGTCCACGAGTGGTGTCCCTAGCAGAGTGTGTGTATCATATTTCACTGTGCACTAGTGTGGGCTGTGTGTGTGTATGTGTGTGTGTGTGTGTGTGTGTGTGTGTGTGTGTGTGTCTGTGTGTGTACCTGTGTGTGTTTTAGACGTTTCTATGAGCTGTATATGTGTGACCTTATACACTTTTTGCACATTGACAAAACTAGAAAGCCAGAAAGTCTCTATAGGGACATGTGTGTGTGTGTGTGTGTGTGTGTGTGTGTGTGCAAGCGATTAATGGGGGGGTCAGTGAAAGTGGAATCGGAGGGGATTGCGCTGGCTCATGTGCTTTAACTTTCCTTCATTCATGCCGGTGCAGTTTTGCGAGGCTGTGGGGAG